TAGCTTATGATTATAAAGTTTTAAAAAGGTGTTAACCTGACTCACATTGTCTACATTAAAAAAAAATAAATAAAAAATAAATAAATAAAAAAAACCCACCCATTTAATAGCCAACCAGGTTATAAAACTCAGGGTTCAGTTTTCAAACCCCAGCAGTATTATATAGGCTTGCAAACACAAAACTCTGATTTTGTTCTCACTAACTTTCAAGGATGATCAGGCAGATTGAAAAAGGGAGGAGAGATTTCTCAAGCAGAGAGGATAATAGCATGCCCTTCTGTATAACTTACATTTTATTTTCAGTCTTGCCATTGACTTACTATGTGACCTTGAGTGAGTCATTTTATCTCCATGTGGCAATTTTCTCATTTGTAAAGTGGGATAATAAATACTACTTTCTATCTCTCTCCTGGGTGATGTTATTATCACCATCAGTTAATATTTATTGGATGCTTGTTGGTCGCATAATGCTGAGGTAAGCACTTTGTTCTGGGAGGTGGAGAGGGATGCCGGAGGAGATTATATGAGAAAAACATTTTCCATGAAGGAAAAAAAAAAAGATTTACAAAAGACAGAATAATTAGAGCTTAAAATAGCTTGGGCTTATATTTTAAAGCAAACTTCTCAGCCAAGATTGATGTAATAGCAATGTTTTCTTAGCAATTGTACAATGCACCAGGATAATGATGCAAAATACTGGTTTTACTTTTGCATGATTCTAAATAAAACTATCTTAAGAATGATTATGATTTTTTTCATCTGTAAATTATATCCTAGGCATAATTTGTTTCAAAATATTTATTTGATATTGAGGGTATCGAAATTGCTTTACCTAGCCATTCCCTTTGTGGGTTTTTTTTGTGTGTGTTTTTTAAAAACCTTTTTAAAAACAGAGTTAGTGCACAAAAGTGTAGAACACTTTTGATTCAAATGTAATAAAGAGAAATCTGAAAGTCACCTATGGAAAGTCATACATTTCATCTGAAACCAAAAATGTAATACTGGTCAGTCCATACTAGTCAGCCTAATTGAATGGGAATTTCCAGTTCCCTCCCAGTCCATTTTGTCTTTCTATCCCTCTGTCACCTACTTACCTCTTGTCTGGATTATTCAAAGGGCCTCTGACCTTGTTTCTTTCACTCTAACTCTCTTCCTTTTACTCTCCATAACACTGACAGAGGAGTTGTCAAAAGTAAATCTATGAACGGATAAACAAAATGTTGGCATATATGAAACAAAATAATTATCCTTAAGAAGGAATGAAAGGCTGACTGACATATGCCACACCATGTATAAAACTTGAAGATATTATACTTTGTGAAATAAGTCAGACACAGAAAGACAAATATTACAGGATTCCCTTTATCTAAGGTCCCTAGAATAAACCAACTCCTGGAGATACAAAGTAAAAAAGTATTTACCAGGGGCTGGGGGAGAGGACCATGGGAATTATTGTTTAAGAGTAGAGTTTCTCACCAAAACCGGTTTGGCTCAGTGGATAGAGTGTCGGCCTGCGGACTGAAAGGTCCCGGGTTCGATTCCAGGCAAGGGCATGTAACTTGGTTGCGGGCACATCCCCAGTGGGAGGTGTGCAAGAGGCAGCTGATCGATGTCTCTCTCTCATCGATGTTTCTAGCTCTCTATCCCTCTCTCTTTCTCTTTGTAAAAATTTAATAAAATATATATTAAAAAAAAAAAGAGTAGAGTTTCTATCTCAGATACTGAAAAAGTTCTAGAGATAGTAGTGATGGTTGCACAACATTGTGAGTGTACATGATACCACTGAAGTATATACTTAAAAATGTTTAAAATGGTATGTTTTATTTATGTATATTTTATCACAATCATTTTTATTTTTTTTAGTAAAACTTGTCCTGATCATTTCCTGGCACATAAATCATCATTATTTACAGACTAAAGCCCAAAGTCCTTGGTATGACAGTAATAATCTTTCAGAATCAAGCACCAGATTATCTTTCCAACATTATCTTTAATATATCTATACCACAGTTACCTTCGATCACACTGACAAAGTGAGGGCCATTGAACCTGAAACTTATCTTGCTCTTCTGCTCTGAGCTCTTTATCTTCTTCAGCCTGGAATACGTGCTCTTTGCTGTCATTCCTTCCTCCTAGCTGTGAAACCTTACATGTTCTTCAATGCTCAACTCAAAACTAATTTCTTTATGCAGCCTCCATGCAATATTCGAATTATTCACTCTCCCTTTTGAAGGTCTAATCACAATATATCTTCCTGTAATTATTTATAATATGAATACGAGTGCCTTAGAGGCAAGGGGTTTTTACTTGTTTTTGTTAGTTTGTTTGTTTATTTATCTTTCCATGCAGTGGTGATTATCAGAGAGGCTGTCATTTTCAATAGACACTCATTTGGAACCAGGGGTTACTGGATTGGCAAGTTAAACTACAAATAATAGGGCTAATAATTAGAACCCTGTTTAGTGCAGTGTTTTTCATCCCGTTGAAATAAGGGTGAGGCAAGTGGCAGTCTTATGGTACATTTGCATAACTCTGAGAGTGAGTTCCTTCTTATTATTTGATGCCTAGTGGCCTCACTTGCCTTATCCTAGTCTCAATTCTGTTGATTGGCAGTTTCCATGATATAAGTAGGTGCTTATAATGCATTGCATTAGTTATCTATTATGGCTTTCCCCAAGCCTTAGCAGCTTAAAACAATCAACATTTATTATTTCACAGTGTCTGAAAGTCAGGAATTTGTGAGTGGCATAGGTTGATGATTCTGATTTAGGATCTCTCATGAGGTTGTAGTTAAAGATGCTAGTGGGAGCTGTCCTTATTTGAGGGCTTGACTGGAGCAAAGGCATCAGATTCCCAGTGCCTGGCTTACATGGTTGTTGGTAGAAGACTGACTTCCCTTAGGGCAAGGGATCCAAGAAGAGGGCAAGCCAGAAGCTATAAGCTTTTATTTCCTAGCCCCAGAAATCACACACTGTGATATCACACATTATGCACACACTGGTCAGCCTTACTAAGTGAGAGAGGTGACCACCCAGAATATGAATACCAGGAGGCAGTGATCTTTGGGGACAATCTTAGAGAATGGCTCCCATTACCATCTGGTTTGACTGTATTGAACTAAATTATCTAGCAGCAGGCCAGAATTATTTCTGACATATGTTACTAAAATCTTCTGAGGTTGACTTTTGTCTTTTATTTTTAAATCATTGAATAATTAAAGTTGCTAACATTTTATAAATGAAGAATGTGTCTGAATCATTTTTCAATCCTGCATTAGTAGTAATGTTTTGCATCTAAAGGCAGCCTGATTGACGTATAGTATCCAGAGAGGTGTCATTTTCAATAGACAATCATTTGCAACCAGAGGTTACTGGATTGGCAAGTTAAAGTGGAAATAATAGGGCTAATAATCAGAACCCTGCTTAGAGCTCAAGGCCAAGCTTGGAAAAGCATGTGTTCATAGAGAATGTGTAAGTAACTGTTGTTTCTTTTTGTCTATAATGCATGAGACTTTTAATATTATTATTACTGGTATATGGTCCCAAGTATACCTGGCTCACAATCATAATCTAGTGCAGTAGCTCTGAAGGGAGAATTTCATCTCTGCCTCTCACTGGCTGTGTGGCCTCCAACATATTTTTTAAAGTTTTTTTATGACTTAGTTTCTGTGTCTCCAAAATGAAATGATTGACAATGCTATTTCTTAGGTTTGTTGTGAGTATTAAATAAGGTAATTCAGCTAAAGAATTTAGCACCATGCTCAATAAGTGCTAGCTAATATTGTTAATATTTGTGTGTATATACTTGTTTTCAGAGATTTGTCTTATAGATTGACAATGACTTTTGCTCTCATTATTCCAACGTTTAAAATGAAAAGTCTTGTCCCTTCTCCCATGAAGCTAATTTAATATTTTCTTCAAGGATTAGGTTAAGCAATTTCTTGACCATGAAAATGTCTGCTTGTGTCCCAAAACCCTAGTGCTCAGTAATATAAGCTTCTCCAAAACTCTCTTAGCCCAAATCTTATATTCTCTTGTTTTGTATCTTAAGCTTTTCCTTTTTCTTTTCTATAGAGAAATTTCGTACCTCAAAACTCACTTACCCCGATCCATACAGAGTATTTGTCAATAGATATCTGTTTAATGATGAATCTGTAGAGTGCCTAGCATAACAAGCTCACAATTAGATTTGTAATAAATGCTTCTTTATCACAAGCAATAAACAGACTGTATTGTTACAAATAGGTGAAGATTGTGTGTTTTCCTTTTTATTTATTCAACTTACAACTCTGAACCTTATTGTGTTTTCTTTAAGAATAAAAACACAATATAGACTGTTAAAATTTCAAGATTTTAAGGAAGTTTAGATTTTTAAAATAATCATTTTTTTTTTAAATCCTGAAGTGTGAAGGAGATAGAAAACATAGGTCTGTTTGACTTAATGATGGCTTTATTGATATTAACAAATTTTAAGTACGGTGCCAGATTTCTGAGCAATCTGCTTTAAACTGAAATATATGTTCTATTTTAGAAGGCTTGTTGACTGCCAGAGTTGAGCCAGGTAGTTTATATTTATTAATTTTTCCAATTCTAATGGCAATCCAATGTTATTTTGTTACTGTGTTGTTATTGTTTTAATTATACCATTTTACATATAAGAAAACTAGAGCTCAGAGAAATCAAACAACTTGCCTAAAATAGTGATAGAGCTGGAATTTGATTCTGTGGGCTCCCATGCATGTCAGAAACTCTGAAAATCTCCATCCACACCACACAGCACCAGCTTTCATGCTGTGCCGTATACAACTCACACAGAGTGGTGTCAGTACAATGGTGGCAAAGGACTAAGGAGCAACCACCTCCCTCCAGGCAAAACTTTTCCAAGGTTTCCTTCTTAGGTGCCCATTTTCCCAGGACCACAGCTGTGTCTCTTTAAGAGGAAACATTGAGATGTAAACTGTTGCCCTAAAAGATGCTGTGCTCTTGTACTCTGAATTACAGGAGCATTGGGAGCGCCATTTTTGTTGGAAGATCCAGCAAACCAGTTCCTACATCTCAAAAGACACATATATTTGCAGGATTACTGGGACCCAGATCACAGTCCGAATACGTGGGAATACACACTGGCTGGTCAGGTATTTTCATTTAAATAGGCATCACATCAGCTAGCTTCAACACACCACCAACCTAGTCCTGATTTTTCCTCTCCATCTGCCATGAGCTATATCTGCCCTTTCCTCTCCATAAAGTGACTTTTGTCTGGTGAACTCCATATTTCCTTCCTTTCTTCCTTCCTTCCTTCCTTCCTTCCTTCCTTCCTTCCTTCCTTCCTTCCTTCCTTCCTTTCTTTCTTTTTAAAAATATATTTTATTGATTTTTTACAGAGGAAGGGAGAGTTGGAGAGATAGTTAGAAATATCGATGAGAGAGAAACATCAATCGATCAGCTGCCTCCTACACACCCCCTATCGGGAATGTGACCGCAACCAAGGTACATGCCCTTGACCAGAATCAAACCTGGGACCTTTCAGTCTGCAGGCTGACACTCTATCCACTGAGCCAAACCGATTTTGGCTCCATATCTACTTTCAAAACTAAGATCAAATGTCTCCTTTCTGATGCCTCTCCCTGCTTTCCAGGGGGCATTTATGTGTGAATAGTTCACAAAATGTCACACTGAAATTATTTGTTTCATGCACCCAACCTTCCTATTTAGGTTACAAAGGTAAAGTGCAAATCTTCTACATCAAAATAATTATTCTCAGGAGCTACTAAAATGACTGTTATGCAGTCAAGTCTCAATAAATGATTTCATTCTGGTAGGTGGATGGATAGATTGCGGTCACATTTTAGTTCTCTCTCACTTGTTCAGCAGCTAACTTCCCTCTGTTATAATTACCCATGCTTTTAATGTCATTTCATTTGCTTGTCTTTTTTACATTTTCCTATTCATTTGTATACTCATTCCAAGAGAAATAAAAAAGAAACTTGCATTCACCAGTTTTATTTCCTCTTTTTGATGGAAGAACACTTTGAAACTCCAGGCAAATGAAATTGCTAAATTATCTGAAGATTTCAATCAGTCTCATGATTTCCTTCAGTCATGATTTCCCTCTCACAACTCAGCAATTTAGAAAATGAGGATATATAGCAATTAATTCCTTCACTGATTTGTTCTTTCTTTCTTTCCACATGTATTAGATTTTCACTACCACCATGTATAAAACTTGAGCGTGGGCCTGCGGACTGAAAGGTCCCAGGTTTGATTCTGGTCAAGGGCATGTACCTTGGTTGCGGGCACATCCCCAGTAGGAGTGTGCAGGAGGCAGCTGATCTATGATTCTCTCTCATCGATGTTTCTCGCTCTCTATCCTTCTCTTTTCCTCTCTGTAAAAAATCAATAAAAAATATGTTAAAAAAATAAAAGTTGTATAAAATCATTATAGGCCTAGCCAGTTTGGCTCAGTGGATAGAGCATTGGCCTGTGGACCAAAGGGTCCCAGGTTAGATTCCAGTCAAGAGCATGGTTGTGGGCTCCTCCCTGGCCCAGTTCAAGAGGCAATTAATCAATGTGTTTCTCTCACACTGATGCTTCTCCCTGTCTTTCCCTCTGTCTTACATTCTCCCTAAAAATTAATGGAAAAATATCCTTAGATTAACAACAAAAATAATAAATAAATAGATAGATAGATAGATAGATAGATAGGTAAAATCATTGTAAAAGTTGAATTTCTGTGTTTTTCCTGAGGCTTGGGTCCTCTTCTTACTTCAGATACCTGGGTTTTTACTGGTCTAGCAGGATCAGCTTGGTTCTGCTTAGCATTTGCTGATGGAAACCAGCAGCTTGAATAATGCATTTAGTTTTATGCCTGTTTTACTCCTACATGCGTAATCTAGAGGTATTAAAAGAAGACTTTATTTATTTGGCAAATTAAATAATTACGTAGACTGGAAGGCTGTGTCTTCCTTATGGAATATTCAAATTTTCAAATATACTCCTGACTGTAATTATACATCTGGGCTGTGATCAACTGACAGATCCTATAATGTACCATGTACCATGGCCCTGTGAATACTAAAAACATTTCATCAGTGAAGTAAACAGATAACTAAAAGTATAAAAACCAAACCTTACTTGGAATTATTCTTCTATTATATTTCTCTCAGTCTTTTGGAAAATATCTATATGATAATCAGAATAATTGATACCTGTGTTCTACATACTCAGAGATCATGACTTGAGTTTCCTTTTATTGCAGGCTCATGAAAAATGGACTTCTTTGAAGACAACAGCACAGTATTATCTGAACGTGAATCCCTTCCCTTCTGACATATCTACTACCCAATAAATGTGCTTTGCCGGTTAAACCAGAATAACAAAAACGGTGGGAGTATAAAAACCACAGCTTTGGCGAACTGAAGGCAAATGCTTGTCACTTACTAGATTATTTATTATGTCTGTCTCACAGAGATGTTGAATAAAGTAAATATGGAAATTTATGCAGTGACCTAGAATTCAAAGTTCTCTGTAAATGGTAGATAAAATGAGAACTAAAATTAAAAAGATTGTAGTAATATCATTTATCAGAAAGGTCTTTTATTGAAAAAGAAAAAAAAAATAAAGCAGTATCATTAAAATTCTCTGTTCATAGCTTTCTTTTCTGTTTGTTTGTTTTTATTTATTTATTTTTTAAATCAATCTTTATTGTTCATATTATTACAAAGGTTCCTCATTTCTTCCCCACTCCACCAGGTTCCCACCCCACTCTCCGCCCCCTCCCCACCCCCCATTGTCCTCATCCATAGGTGCACAGTTTATGTTCAGTCTCTTCCCCCCTCCACCACTCCCCCTCTCCCCGAGAAAAGTCAGTCCACTCCCCTCCCATATCGCCAACTCTACTACAATGAACAGCTATTATTGTTCATCAGGTTTTTCAATCTCCTTTTTTTGTTGTTGTTGTTTTTTTTAATTAATAAACTTTACACTTCTAAGAATAAATTTTAAAATCTAATAATTTTAAACCTTGATTTTTTTTCTGCCCTGGAAATTGAGAAGCAAATTTGTTTACATGTAAACTTGACCTTAGGCTATCAAAAGGTGTAGCTATCAAGTGTAAATGGACACATTGTTTAAAGATAGCTGATGATTGGAATTGGATTACCTGTTCTGGGTGGGAAGGGCTTGTCTTCCCCTTTCTCCATTAAAATTAAGGTGTTAGCTTTAAAACCTCTTTTTGGCAAGAGACCTTAAACTTTCAGAACTTTAAATTTTTCAGATAGTAAATCAGTTATTTAGCATTTTCTCAAATCAATAATACCTCCACATGCCCAAGGATACACTTCACACAAAAGACATTTCCAAATAGATCAACCAACCTCATCCAGGCCCCACACAAGGCACTCACAGATCAACACCCCAGCGCTATACTAACTCAACACATCCAGATCTAAGCCTTCAGCACTTGATTCAACAGACCCTCAAGTTCCCCCAAAAGTTTCCAGCCATGTCTGAGAGGCAGCCTTGAGGCGGGGGCAGGCAAGGAGCGAGCTGTTCTGGTCCTGGCTGCTCCCAGCCTGGCTTCTATTGCTCTGGTCCATTCCACAACCAGCTACTCTGGGTCTGGCCACTGCCGCTCCCGGCCTGGCTGCTGCTGCTCCAGGCCTGGCCGCTCCAGGCCCGGCCGCTCTGGGCCTGGGTGCTCCTGGACTGGCCATCCTGGGCTTGGCCGCCTTCGCCTCAGGCCTGGCTGCCACTGCCCCAGGTCTGGCTGCTCCAGGCCTGGCTGTTGCTGTTCTGGTTCTGGCTGCTGCTGCTCTGGGGCCCGGCTGTTGCTGCTCCGGGCCCAGCTGCCACTGCCTTGTGCCTGGCCACTCTAGGCCTGGCCGCCGCCGTTCCAACATTCTGTCCTTTTTTTTTTTAAACCCATTTATGTTGCAATGTTGGCTGCTGAGTTGAGTTCTGACTTGGTCTTCGATTTTTCAAGATCTTCTTTGTATTCTTTCTTAAGTAATTTTACTATCTTTTGCTCTCACTTGATTTCTTCACATTGAAAACTTCTTCGGTTTCTTCCTCCTTGTCCCAGAAGCTCAGCAGGTTGGCCTGCGGCACCCCTTTGTTCTCCGCGGCTCCTGCGCGGCTTCAGCCTGTTCCTGGGTCGGTGCCGCCCAGTAAGCAGCCCCCAGCCTCGGCTCCGTGGCCCGTGCTCAGCGGTCGTAGGCCCAGGGGCACCCCCCCCCAGGGGGCCCCCGTTGCCCGACTCCTTGCTGGCGCCCGGCTGGCTGGTGTCCGGCAGGGGCTCCTGCTCCTCGTTGCGTTCCTCCAATCTGGAGCTTTTTTTCTCCTTCCCGCTAGGGGAGTCTAGCATCAGAGTCAACAGACTGTCCTCTGCGTGCAATGTACGCGACTCCAGGGCCTCCGCTTTTCGCCTCTCTCCTGGGATTCTGCCTCACAACCCCGTCTCCCCCTGCCTGAGCCTGGGTCCCCAGGGCTGGCCTAGAACTGGGGTTCAGAACAGTCAGGACTGGGGCTCAGCACCGCCGGAGGTTTTGTTTCTTCCTTCCAGGGCAATCCCGCATCAAAGTCAACATTCCGTCCTCTGGGCAGAATGTACGAGACTCCGGAAGCTTCGCTTTTCGCTGCTCCCCTGGGATTCCGCCTCACAGCCCCATCTCCCCCTGCCCAAGCCTGGGTCCCCAGGGTCTGGCCCAGAACTGGGGCTCAGCGCTGCTGGTTCTGGGGTTCAGCCCAGTCCGGGGCTTTTATTTCCTTCCTGCTAGGGAACGCTAGGCAGGCACCCAGCCTTCTCCTCCTCTCTGGCTGCGTCCTCTCCACGTGCAGCATGTCTCCGTACCTTAGGCTTTTTCAGCTCCTCTGATTTTACTTCTGGTTTTCTCTTTCCTTCTTGTTGTAGAATTTTCAGTCAGTTGACTACCTTTAGCTCTGGGCAATGTCCACTCTACATTTTAGTTGTATTCCATTGGAATTGTTGTGTGCTGCTGCGGTTAGGTGTCTATGTGAGCAGCCACCTTGGATCCTCCTGCTTTCATTTGTTAGTTTACTTTTTAACTCAAGGAAGAGGGATTTCTCAAATGGAGCTCGTTCTCTCCTCTTCTCTTCAATATTTGTCACTGTCTAAAGCCAAGCTATTTTAAGACACACTCCTGAAACTTTTTTCATCAAAGGTGTATTACTGAGAGCAGTAGAAAATAAAATCTTAACTCATATTAGAGAGTAGATGATGATTAGGACCTCATTGGAAGCCACTCATCTACATAAATGTCAACTTCTCAGAAGTTTTACCACATGTTTTCAAATTTGTATTCTGTTCCATAATATATGGTTAATGTTTATTTTACTATGAAATAACAGATTTGGCTCACTGGCCAGGAATATTTATTGATCTTTTAAAATAAAACAAAAATAGTGACTCTAAAGAAGAGTGTACTACACTTATCCTATAGTTTTTTATCATGAAATACCACCTCAGAATTCTAATTTGAGAAGTACTAAGGAGATGATACAAGCAAATCACCAAGGCTCCCTCTCCCCCACAACCCATAGATAAGTGAACATTTTGTCTCCAAAAGTGTATTTCTAAATGTATACTTAAGACAATTGTTCTCTTGGCAGGGGGAAGGGTAACAAGTGAAAGGATTTATTTGGGAAATAGAAGCACTTTTCAGCAGAGGGTATATCAGAAGCTGCACAGTAAAAACTTGGGCCAAGCACTTATGTCTCAAAGAGGACATTGGCAGCTAGTAAGGATTCCCCATTTCCTATCCTACTCCCTAGAAATGTTTTCAGTGAGAAATTGAAAGCTAAGGCATAATCTATTATGTTAACCATTATCCACTTTTCATACATATAAACAGATATTTTTTAAAAATATATTTTTTTATTGATTTCAGAGAGGAAAGAAGAGGAGGAAAGAGATAGAAGCTTCCATGATGACAGAGAATCATTGATCGGCTGCCTGCGGCAAGCTTCCTACTGGGAATCAAGCCCAAAACCCTGGCATGTGCCCTGACCTGGAATTGAACTGTGACCTCCTGGTTCACTGTAGGTCAATGCTCACTCACTGAGCCACGTGATTCAGGCCAGATATTTTTTCCCCCCAATAAAATACAACTAAATGGACAAAACAAAGGAGATGAATCATTTGGTTTTACATTAAGATATAAGTTTGAGATTATACATATGCATAACAAAAATAATATACATTTTGCTGCTACAAAGTTCTATTCTTTGATTACTTAATATAAAATTAGAGAATGTTGTGTATTGGTCAAGGTTCTCCAGAGAATCAGTCTGAATCAATAGTGATTTTTTTTTTAATTGGTTAATGCAGTTAAGGAAGCTGGCAAGTCCAAAATTGTCAGGCTAAAGACCAGAGAAGAACCAATGTTGCAGTTCAAGTCCATAGGCCAGCAGGCTAAAGATTTGGAAAAGAGCCAATGTTGCAGTTAAGTTCAGTCTCTGAGATCACCTGCTGGCAGAATGTCCTCTTGCTTCGGAGGGAAGTCAGTCCATTTGTTTTCTCCAGGCACTCAGCTGATTGGGTGAGGCCCACCCACATCATGGAGTGCAATTTACTTTCCTCAAAGTCCACAAATATAAATATTATTCTAATCCAAAACATTTTACTGAACAATCCAAAATAATGTTTGACCACAGATCTGGGCACAGTTGACACACAAATTAACTATTACAACCTATTTTAAGTTATTTAGATTGTCAACACATACACACATACATACACATATACATGCCCATGTATTTACACAGTTGTGATTAGAGCAACAAACAATGGAAAAAATAAAAATACTTTAATTCATGTGTTTTGTTCAGTATAGTACAAGAAAGAAGCTTAGTGGATTGTGGACCCCTAATGAAGTAAAACTGTAAGTTAGCTGCCAAGTTGATTTTGATTTAGGTGACACTGAGAAGCAATTCTGTTATTAGGTAGTTACCTGAGCAAGCATGGAAAGGAGGTTTCTTGAGAGATTTTTGGAAACTTACATATCATAAAACTAATAAACAAACAAAATAAACAACCTAGGTCTACATCAAATAATAATCTGGAAATCTAGTTAACTTCCACACAGCTGAGCAGGAAGTGGTGATTATTCGTTTGTGTGGTTTTTTTTGTGTGTTTTTTTTTTTTTTTATAGAATTTAAGAAAACCCAGGGACCACATATTTGGCATCTATATGCAAAATCAGCTTATACCAGAATAACTCTGAATTCACTGTTTAACGAAATTGATTGCATTGAGGTACCAATTATCTGGCTGACTCTATTTAATGGATTGTTTTCAAAATGGTATGTAAGTCGACATAACTAAATTTTTTTGGCGGGAGGTGGGAAGCTCTAATACGGTTTAAGTCTGTATCTAGTGTGTAAATTCTAAATAAGTCTTTCTATTTGAAAACTAAAGACTTTTTAACATTTTTAAGAGCTGTAAACAAACATCAGTGACCTGGACAATATTAGGAAACAGAGAAGATCAGAGCCTACATTTTCCCCGACTCACTTCCTGAGTCTCCACATGACGCCTACACCTGGGATGTTCACATGTTCTACTGCAGCATCAAAACATACAGACTGTGGTGACTCTGAATTCTTCTGAAGTAGAAGGTGTTTGTTCTCAAATT